AAGATGGCACTGGCGGTTAGGTTAGCAGTGTATCGGCAGCGGCGTTTTCAGTCCAGAAAGAACAGGGTAGAGAAAGGGGGGCGGCCGGGAAGCGGGAGTAAAACTTCACTCCTCCGAGAAAAGAAGCAGAACTGCAAAACGTTGGGATAATTAAACGGTAAATATTAAACTCGCCAAGTGCTTGGTACTCATTCCCTGTAAAAACTTAGTGGTGTGAAATGCAGAGAAGACGCTAAACACATATTCTTCTGGATTTGGTCTCCTAGATATTTAGAAGTGTGACCCGAAAACAACACTTGTAGTTTTCGTTTACTGTTTGTTGTGGAGATCCCTTTAAATTCCCTATGAAACTTCTCCTGGACACCTAAGTTATATTCCATCTTCCTGCATGAAAGGAATTTTGTTTATTGACCTGTGGGGGGTGCTGGGACCAGCTATCATAGAATCATAGAATGTTTTGGGTTGGAAGGGACCCCTAGAGGTCATCTAGTCCAACCCCCCTGCAGGAGCAGGGACACCGCTAACTAGATCAGGTTGCTCAGAGCCCCGTCCACCCTCATTGTAAAGAATTTCTTCCTTACATCTAGTCTAAACCTACCCTGGTTTAGTTTGAAACCATTACCCCTTGTCCTGTCACAGCTGGCCCTACTAAAAAGATTCTCCCCATCTTTCCTATAGGCCCCCTTTAGGTATTGAAAGGCTGCAATCAGGTCTCCCCGCAGCCTTCTCTTCCCCAGGCTGAACAAGCCCAACTCCCTCAGCCTGTCCTCATAGGAGAGGTGCTCCAGCCCTTGGATCATTTTTGTGACCCTATGATCGGTGGTTTGGGGGGTTTGGGGTTTTTTTTTTGGTGGAAGAAGCATGTAAACATGTTAACAGAGGTACTTTCGTAAAGGTTGAGATCAGAGTTACTAATTTGGTGGTGCTCTGATGCAGGTGTGTTAAGAGATTAATAGATCTGTATCCTTTTGGGATGTTCTTTGAACTGTAATCAGGAGAACTCACACCTGATGGCATGAACAAATTTCAGTTCTTTAAAAGTTGCCATTTGTCAGCTTCTCCGTGGTACCTCCATGTGTGCCTCTGTTTCAGCAAATGGAGCAATTCGAATTAGCTTCACCTGCAGTGAAAGGAGGCTAATTTGAATTACCTTACTGGATAGTCAGCCCATGTTAAGTGTGTTTGCTGCTACCCTGGGATAGCTGTCCCAAAGATGATTTGTTCTGTTTTTCCAGTCCTTACGGGCATAACTGATGGCCTGGCCAACCTGAACACTCACTAGAGTTTCTCTGCTGGTCTTGTTCATTGCTAGCTTTGAGGGACGTACCCTCATCTGGACTATGGAAAGCTGGGAAGCCAGAATAGTGCTGCTGTATTCCGCTTTTGTCTTGATGTCCTGGTTTCAGCTGGGGTAGAGTTAATTTTCTTCACAGTAGCTAGCATAGTGCTGTGTTTTGGATTTAGTACCAGAAGAATGTTGATAACACACTGATGTTTTCAGCTGTTGCCAAGTAGTGCTCAGACTACTCAAGGACTTTTTGAGCTTCTCCTGCTCGGCCAGGTGCATAACAAGCTGGGAGGGAGCACAGCTAGATCAGCTAACCCAAACTGACCAAAGGGCTATTCCATACCATATAACGTCATGCTCGGGGGGGTTAGTTAGTTCGTTCGGTCGGTCGGTCGCGGGCAGAGTGGTCGCAGCTCGGGCTGTGTGATCGCGGCTCGGGGGGGAGTGATCTCAGCTCGGGACAGGGCTGGGCATCAGTCAGCGGGTGGTGAGCAATTGCATTGTGCATCACTTGTTTTATATATTCTTTATATTCTCTTACCATTATTATTATCACTATTGTTTTTCTTCTTTCTTATTAAACTGTCTTTATCTCAACCCACGGGTCTTTACTTTTTTTTCCTTTCCTATGATTCTCTCCCCCATCCCACGGGGGGGGCGGGGGAGTGAGCGAGCGGCTGCATGGTGCTTAGTTGCCAGCCGGGTTAAACCACGACACTTGATCATTGTGATCACTGCAGCACTTTGAAAGTGTGATGATGTGTAGGCGTGGAAACTGCCTCAACTCAACTTGCACACCTGCAAGTTTTATGATAAGGAGTGGCCTCAGAGGGCCAGTTATCTTAGCTGACGGAAGAAGAGTTACTCCTGGTATTACCGAGCTGGTGGCAGGAGGGAGCTAGATTTTTAATAAATTGTGTTTGACTGATGTCCTTCCATTTCTGGCCTACTAGCTTATTACAAAATAACACTCTTTTATGTGCTATACTTGACAGTTGCAACTTGTCATCACAGTTCCTGTGCAGCTTGTGCCTGTGCTTGTTTTATTTGTGGTTTTGTATCTTTGTGAGTTGAAAAATAATTTTGTGATGGGAAGAAGCAGAGGAGGGGATTATTTGACTTATATGTAGAATTCAGGAGTTGTATGTCTTCAAATATATAAAATTTTTAATAAATATATTTGGTTGGCATCAGAACTAGTATTTAACGGTAAAGCAATTTCTAATGCTAAAGTTCTTCCTTAACTGTATGGGGAGATTGAAAGTGCAATTTGAAATTGGAAAGATCTGAGTAGATTAAAAGGAAATACTTGATTGGGTTTAAAAAAAGATGCCTACTGTCTGAGCCTAACTTCCTCAATGCGTCTGGAAAAAATGTTACTATCGATCTAAATAATGATTTATGAAAACAATAGTTTTTATAACTAAAAAGGTAAATTTGATTTTAAAACATGTACTTGCCTGTGGTTTCTTTTGATGTCTGGATACTTTTGTTTGAAAGTGTCTTCTATGTTGGTCATTACCCTTGTTTGAGCTCTGTGTGAAAGCCCTTATTCTTTATGCTGAATCCTCCTTATGCAATGTTCTCTTCTGACAAAATCTTTTTTAAAACACAACGTGAATTTCCTAGTAAGTCTTTACAAGACTCTGATGCTGAAAAGATAATGTCAGAGATTTTGTTGGAAGGAGAAGACAATCACCAGGTTTTTTTCTCTCTTCCCTAAGTCTCACTCTGATGAGATGGAGGCATTGCTTTAGGAGAGGGCTTTGATGTCTGTTTTAATGTACGAAACTAGGCCTTTGTACAAGTCTCTCCGACTGTCTCGAGGAGATACAGGGGAACAGTCATATTTGTGCAGAATTTATGCAACTGTATAACTGAGTTTATAAAGGTTTACTGTGGGGTAGCTGGAATGCCCTGAGTTATCAATTACTTAAGCTTAGAGTTTGTCCTAGCTTTATGAAAGAATGTTTCTGATCACTATTTTAATTGACAGTAGGTGTCTTGGAGGGAGTCAAGAATGATGCAGTGTTATGGTAGAGTGGCCCTGCAGTCTTTGTTCTGCAGAGAAGACTGGAGACTCATCTTCAGGTAATTTTTTATGTGAAGGGAAATATTTCTTAGCTACTCTAAGTAAGTTACTTATAAATTTATGGATAAACTCTTACAGGGGAAAAAAACCCTCTAGCTGTTGCATCTCAGATGCTCCTCTAATTTACTTTGATTCTCTTTTACGAAGGTCTCAGTGGGGTTGTAGACTGTAGTATGGGGTGTGGGGAAATGTGTGTGGCTTCTTTGCTATCAAGGAAACATCTCTGACTTGAGGCAGTACAAATTTTCCAAGAAATATGTCACTAGCGACATTTGTATAATATACAACAAGCTAACAAGCAGGAGTATTTATTATTGTACAGAGTAAAGACAGATGTGATGACGGCCATTTGTAGAACACGGTTTAGTATATTCAGGTTTTATTGAAACCCAGGGTTTAGCTTGTGGAAAAAGTTCATTCAGCATAATCTCAAGCTTCATCTGTTCTTGTATTGGTGTGTACATCATAATACCAATATGAACACAGTTTGGGGGGGAGGGTTGTTTTTATATTTCTTGGTCTTTGTAAAACAATCATAACCCCAAATTGCCAGTTGGCGCCAAAGTAAGTGCTTTATCTCTGATACATTCCAATTATAAATTCTGTAATGCACAAACACAGTCAAAAAGTACTGCGCTTGTTTTGCAATGTTTGTATTTGGTGTGTGATATCTGAAGGTAAGTTTGTGGCATATATAGCCTACAAACCTTTAGAATGGTTAAAGTTCATAAAGAAAAGGCATTTTATGAACTTTACAGGGCATATTAGGAAGTTTTAATTTGTTCAGTTTAGTGGGTACTACTTTGTAGGTTTTATAATACTTGGCCAGGTTCTGATGTTATTAGCGTAGAACAGAATAAGGAAAGGGTGGGTGATCTGGTATGGGGACTGCCTCTACAAGAGGACGTATAATGGTAAATATTTAAATGAAGCAGCTTCATCATGAAAAGAAGCTTCATGCATGTTGAAAAGCTCATAGCTTATTCTCCTGAAGAAATGCATAGAGGTGTTCTAGAACACAAGCTGAGCAGAATACAAAATGCAAATATGAAGTCCCACAATCCAGTACATCTTGAAAACCTTGGAAGAAGTCAAAAAAGTCATGAATGAAGGTGGCTGTAATCTTGTCTACATCAGAAATAATTTTCTAATCCTTTCTTTGCCTTATTGTAGTTCTGAAATATCCCTTAATTTATCACAGAACAGCCTTATTCTTTGTACTTAGTTTTACAAATTCTTATTTATTGTTAAGAGAGTTACATGTAGCCTGTATTCAGAAAAATGTGATGCAAGCACTGTTTACTTTCTTGTTAAATTCAAGACGAGTACTGTAAAGTATAAAAAAGAATTGCAGTATTTTGTAGCTGATAGGAGTGCCCATATAAACTAACTTGGGGATTATCTCTTTATCTATGACAATGCAACTCAATTAGGAGCAGAAGTCTGTATTGCAAGGTGAAATACACCCAGTAATCTGCAATGATATTTTAATAGTTTTTGACTTCACTCTGAGAGGCCTTAAAGGTTCATTTGCATAAGTGAACAAAATGTTGCATTTGACTCACAAATGAAGATAAGCTATCTGGGGAATACTCAGAAGCTTGCCTGATCGCAGAGGCACAGCTTGCTAAGGGATGTTTCTGTGTGTCCTGATCTGAGCAGCTCAGTGAAACCCTTGCACCAGCCTGGCAGTGACATGAGAGTTTCACAACAGGAACATGCTCCTCTCTGGAATGTCTTGTTTATTCTGTATTTTGAGTTGCCCTTTTTTCCTCCCTGAAAAAAAAATCTCACTTGGAGGGAGGAAGAAACTCTAGGTTTTTTCCTTCTTCCTTTTTCACTCTGGCACTAAGTCGGAACAGTGTTAGAGCCCACCCCCCGCCGCCCCCCCCGCATCTCCCTTGCTGTTGCTTTTATATGGGATGTCAGTATTGCAGCTTGTTCCTCTCTCCACCAGCAAAACATGTGGACTAATTCAAGAGATTATCCTTAGACAATTTTGCTAGAGACTTGACTCTGTGGTTGACAAAAATAGGTAACAGAATCATGCTATATTTTTCCAAGTCTTACCACAGCATCTTGTGTTTTGATCAGTTTTTCTTCTTGATGGGTATGGGTTTAAACTAGTGCTTGTTCCGTGATCTCGTTGGTACCCCTGCGCAGTCATACATGGTCAATGCATGCAGCATGCAACTGTAAAGTCCTCCTCTGTGCTGGACATTAGAAGACTTATTTTAAAATAAGGTGTTTTGCTCTTGTGAAAAAGAACAGGGAATGTCCAATATTACTTAGTACGTCTCTGCAGTTGTTAGTACACTATCAGAGCTTCTAGGTTTGTGCAGTTAACACATGGTTACTCTCTGGGTAGCCTAGGAAACGCACTCCCTTCCAAACAGTTCATACCTTCTAAAAAGGGCTATGGCAGGATAGGCATTCTTGGAAGCTTAGGTTTTTATGATTGGGCTGAGCCAAAGAAACATTCATTTTTCAGTGACCTAGTCAGTACATGAGGGATTTTTGTTGATGATTATTAATAGTATTTTTCACTTTTAAGTAGTAAGCATGGACCAATGAACACAGTTTTCCTTTTTTATTTGAGACACTTAGCAAAAATGCTGAAATATCAAACATTTCCTCAGTAGCTACAATATTGCCACTATGTACAAAATATTTGATAAATGTAGTACACATATAAAAATACAGTATGCATTACATATATACAGTACAATGTGCAAAACGTATGGCATTCAAACATATGGAATTGATCTTAGGGGTGCAAACAGCAAATACAAAGGCATCATGGTTTCTTATAGAAAGGCAATACATAAACTGACGCCCTGATTGCCATAATTTGCATTTAGTAAAGTAGTGCTTAAATGAAGAATCCCTAGAGACAGGTGTCTTTTCTTCTTCTTTTCACAAAATGAGATGCTAAGACATAATTATGACTATGAAAATAAGAAGAGAAACACCTACTAGGGTTAGCGTTATTTCTACTGCAAGCAGTACTGTGAAGAAAAATCCTATTTGGAAAAAAGCCTGTGCTATTACTTAATACAAATTTTTCAAACAACAAAAACAAATCCGTACTGTTAAACATCAAATACAGCTTTGAAAATATCTACATCCTTAATTTTAAAAAAGATGGATAATACTTTTGGGGATTTAATTTCCTATGCTTCAAAATACAAAGTGCCTCCTTTGGCAATATAAATGGCAATGCTTTGGTTCTTACTTAAATTTTTATATTATTATAATTTATTTTAGTCTGTCTTTTGAATATCTGAGCTGTATTTTTTTATAAAAATAGTGTGATTATATAGTTACCATTCCCCGCTTTTTATTGAGAATTTGCTCTCATAGCTAGAACGGCTTTTTTTGGCTAGATTTCTACAAATACATTTATGCACTTTTAACTTTAAAAGCCTTTATATTCAGTATCGGACACTACAGAATGATGTAGGTGTCTCTTTTTTGCACTTTATTCCTAGCAAACTGGTATAAAAGGAATATTTGAGATTACTTCAGGTTTTAATGGATGCTCTTTATTGGCCATGTATAGACTATATGCAACTTCATTCCACATATCTCACATAAAAACGCATCTGTAGTATGGTCTAGAAGTTATCAAAAGGCAACTGAATAGACCACAATATGAAGAATTTTAACAGAGTATTTAATAGAGATAAGTGGAAGAAATTTTTTTTCCAGTTTTAATAGAATTTGCATTGCGTTTATAATACACCGAAGATGTCATCCAAATAATAATTGTTTACATCAGTGAGCTTTACTGTGTTTGGATTACATAATGCCCTTCCAGTTAAATGTATTCTGTGATTGCATTTTCCCTGCCTTGAAAGCACAGCTTGTGCTTGGTCTCCAATTATGGTGCCTACACTTTTCAGGCATCTGAATGTTTGAGATTGCCCAACATAAAAGTTTAATATTGAAACTTCTGTTTTGATCGCCTGCTTCCTTGAACATAACTCCTGTTGGTGAATTTAGAAATACCTTGGAAAGAAATTTCAGTATTAAGTAGTGATTATTTCTAAGAGCTGCGGCCTCAGCTTTTTAGAGGTCTGATTCTGCAAGCCCACATTGCTGGCTTAGACTCTAAATTTCTGTAGAGAACAACTGCCATAAATTCATTTTGTTCTCAAAGGAACTGCTGAATTTATGACAATGATTTCTTAACTGTTTACTAATGCTGAATGGCACTAAAAGTGCATAAAAATACCATTTCTGTATTAAACGCAGGACGTGACTACCCTTGATTAACATTAGGCTTGTAAAATGTGTATGTCTTGAGCTTTCTCTGTGTCTAGAAGTGTTAAAACCAACTTTTGATTTTCACACTGATAAAATGGTATTTTTAATTACTTTGAAGGTTCTACTAACAACACATTTGATAGGATGTGTTCTGTTAATATACTGCAGCCGTTAAACAGCAAATTTAGTGCCAGTGCATTCCTTTGCAACTGTTCTCTTAATGAGAAATATGTTCAGTTCTGTACAGTCAAACTGCACAGTCATGATTCAATTTCTAAGATGTATTTGTCTTACAAAAATTGTCATGTAAAACATGCACACACAAAAGTCTAAGCAAAACCTATTTCTGCCATAACAGGCATACATAACTATGGCAAATATATCACATTTCAGAACAAAGTCTAAAGCAAACCATTACATATAAGGTTTAATACACATAATTCTGAAATGTACAAAAAAGTAATCACACATTCCCTACGCTAGAATATTTGTACTTTAAAAACTAAAATGATCCCTTAATTTTATTTTTTTTTTTTAATTTATTTTTTGCAAATAGACTTTTAGAGTAGAAAGCTATACTGTACTGATAACAACACATCTCAACTGTTTGGGTTTATTTCTGCACATAGATTCCTATGGATTATAGTTAACATTCTACACTGCCGATAAGGATAGTTTTGTAGCAAGATGCCTTTGCCAGTCTTAAGCTCTATTTACATGCACATCAAAA